TGAGAAGGGTACCTACAAGTATCAGTATCATCTTATGAAATTTATATGATCTTATTTTTATATTAATCTCAGTTATGACATTTTTCCATAAATGAAATATCAAAATTAATAATAAAATGAATGCAAATACAAATAACAGTAGAATGTAATAAATGTACATAAAATTATAGTATTTTATGTACAATTTGATAAAATTTCATAAGAAAGGTACCTATAAATTAATTAGATACCTTTCTTAAGAAATATGAAATTTAATGTCACTCTTAACAGTTTTATTTTAATTTCTTTACAATATATTTTCCATAAAGCATCATAAACGTAAAGGTGAAAGCTAAGTACAAAAAAAAAAAAAATTAGACCGCTGAAAGTTTTCGTTAAAAATAACAGGGTAAATAATTTGTTCACGTAAATGTAAATTATTTCACTTTTCTCCTTCCGTAGAACAAATTAGCCTCATGGAATTCATAAATATATCATTCATCACATGTCAAGAGACGCGAAAGTTTATGACCTGCTTTGTTTTATTTTCAAATTACATCTTTTTGGCACAAAAGCTAAGTTAAGTTTGGTTCAAAATATTTTAAATAAACATTATAATTTCTGATTTTCTTAAAATAAGTTTTGAAAAAATGATAATTGATATTAAAAAAAAATTTCAAAGTCAGATTTTCAGTTTTTTTTAAAATGGAAAAAAAATGGTCAATTTTGCTGACAAAAAAAAAAAAACTAGATTTTTAACGAAAAATTTCGGACGTGCTAGGAACGATTAAAAAATATAAAAAAAATACCCTAAAAATACTTTGACCTTTTTTCTTAATAATTACAAACATTTAGACGATAAAATTTTGTTTTCGTCAAGTTTGGCATCTTTTTCATCATGCTATGCTCTTTTTTTAGCGATCTCGTGGAGGTACCTATCCTAACCTCCAGCTTATATGGAGTCCTGTGTTGGTAGAGTTGACCAGGGTCTGGGTTTAGTTTTCTTCCACCCTTAGCATCAATCTTTTTCTAAAATTTCATATTCTCAAAATATGTTTACTTGAGTGATTTTCCAAAATTGGGGGTTGTCCAGTCCCCTTTTGAGTGGTCAGAGGAATCAAGCCACCTCTTAACTCCAACTCCCTTCACATTTCATCTTGCACCATTGCTCTATATAGTTGGAAAAAAAAATCTCTCACTCTTCCTTCTCCCACTTTCTCAGCATCTAATCTCAGTTCACTCCAAGGGCTGGCACACCATCTCTGTGACAAATCTGAACTTTCATAATGTGTACATGTAAGGGGATTTTCCAGTAATTAATCTTTCTTCATCAGGTTATCTCATGGTGTGATTTCCGAAGCCAGTTACTTGCAGATGAACCCAAAGACCCACCCCACCTACCAGCCAATCTCAAGAGTTGTTTTGTGTGGGAAGGAAAAAAAAATTCACAATCTCTTTAGTAATATAAAAAAAAAAAATCATCTTTCTCTGTTTGTGTTTCTTGGTCAACAGGACCACATATCTGCTTTTTTTTTTTTTTTCCTTTTTTTTCCTGTTGTTCCCTTGTTTTTTTTGTTTTTTTTCCTTTTTTTTTCCTGTTCCTTGTTTGTTTTTTTTTTTTTTTTTTTTCCAATTTTTTTTTTTTTTTTTTTTCCCTGTATTTTTTTTTTTTTTTTTTTTTTTTTTTTTTATGGTCACTTCATTTTTAGTAATTAATTTTTCCTTAACAATAAGTGTTAAGGAAAATGGAATCTGAATTAATGTCAGTTATAAATTTTTTGATGAATGCAGAAATTACAAGGAATGAACTTGTCAGTCTAATCTCTATTTTTTAGGAATATTTTTTCTGATGGCCAATTTAAACCAGATATTTTTCCTGGCCAGAAGAATTTTAAATGTTATTTCAGTGACCACCCAGGTTTCATTATTGACAACCTTTTTTTTTTCTATTTGACATCTTCGAGGATACATTGTCTCTTCTTTTATCAGTGGGAAGTGGGGAAGGATGGGCAATCTTGGTTTTGTTCATTCCTACTGAATTCTGTTTACTTAAATTTGGGTTTGATTCTCTTTGGAACTGTTCGGGAGTTCATTTATTATTTTGAAACATGATTTTTCAACACGTTTTGTTTTTAATTTTCTTAACTTTTCAATCCACCTTCCTGTGAATTTCAACAATTATCATCCAGTTTACTAGACTCCTTCCTCTTCTTTTTTCTTTCTTTCCTTTTTTGTTTGATAACTCCCTCTCCCTCAAATTCCAGTTAGATTTTCAGAAAATTTATAACTTTTCAAATGTTGTTTGTATTAGGGCACTCTATTATGAATTCCTGTATTTTTGTTGTAATGACTATTATCTGGTTTAAACAAACTAATAAAAATTACTGTAAAAACATAATCAATTCCTGAATGTAACAATCTGTATTGACTCAGCAATGAGCCTTCTTGTCATATAAATCTAAAATACAAAAGTGGAAATAATCATTCCAAATTAATTCCTTTAAGATTCTCAATAAAGCAAGGAATTTTTCCATTTGATGAATAATCATTGAAATGCAATTTTGTGATTTGTCTTTACATACTGCCAAATTCAATCTACTTATAAGCACTAGTAAAAAAAGAAAAAAAAGAAAGTTATTACCATTATTTGTTCATTTTTTTTTCTTATGAAACTGGCAAATTAGTTCTATTAGATCTAGTTAATTTTTTAGACCTGTTAAAACAGGATCTTGCTCAATCAACAGTGACAGCACTTCACCAAACAACAGAAAAATATTCCCTGAGGATAATCTTGCCTAATGGTTAAATTAACATTGGCAAGTAGGGAAATAAGCTACTGCCATTGCTTAAAATATGTCCAAGCTGAGAAGTAGGAGTCTAATTTGTTCGCCAAGGATAGTAAGGTCAATCCTAGGTAGGAATCAGCATAGTTAACAAAATCAAAAGGCTTTTTCATTGATAAACTGATTTTCTATTTGGCTTCTATAAATGACATCCTTATGTAAATCAAATTAATATAAAGTGAAAATAATTTACATAATTTTAGAAGCTGAATTGCTTTCATTGTGAATGTGTTATTCCATGCACTTTGATGAAAGAAAATGTTCAGAACTTGTATCAAAGGTAATTTTAGTAAAAGTCAAATATAAACAGACATTTGTATTTGAAAAATTAAACTACTTTTCAAAAATACTGTATAAATCAGCTTAATTTTCATAAGAAAAACACCCAGATTTTAAAAAAAATTATAAAAAACATCTGCTAATCATTAGATTTCAATTCAAGTTTAGGTATTTTTCATTTATGAAAAGAGTATTTTGTAAGAAAAATTTATGGAATTTTTTTTTTAGTCAGTTAAACCTTTAATTTCATGAAATCACAGTAATTGGATTATCAGTAATTGAATTAAATTGTTTAAAACACATATGGAGAAAACATATTCTAATTTTAGAAAATAAAATCGATGGGAAACTTTTTTAACTACATACAAAGTTTAGAAAATTGAGAAAATAAAATTATTCCTTTGGCATAATGAGCATTTATACACAAAGAAAATAGGTTTTTGTTATTTTGTGTTACCTGCACTTCAGCTATCTCATGAAATGCTCATGAAACTAAGCGGACTTAACACCTATGGGAAAATTAATTTTTGATAACATAACTTTCAGGAAGTGAGTGCTAACCTGGTCACATTGGGAAAATAGCTCCAAGAAGGCTTGACAGTGTTCAATTGAATAGAATTAAACGTAGAAAGATACTGTTTTATGGTATAGAATATGAGAGAAGGTTTGATTGCATTTAATGTGTATGGGAATAAAATATGAAAAAAGAAGTAATTAAGAAAATTAATTAATTTTGATGAATTAGATTGGTTGATACGTTCTTAAATAATTGAACTTGGATATTAACTTGGAGATGACTTATCAATATGTCAATTTTAGTTTGACCCATGGCTGGATTTGGTTTGTGGTATTTCGACCCTGAGCTTGGAACTTCAGATATTATCCACAAATATAGCAAATGCTCAAGGATTCTTGATTAAGGTTACCACAGAAATACAGTGGGTAGTGGTGCATTTGGTGATTAAGATAAAGTTCTAATATTAATATTTTATTTATTTTTTTTTTTTTTTTTTTTTTTTTTTAGAACTAACTTTGTGCATATTACAACTAAAACTAAAATTTAAAAAGATATTCAAATTATTGCAATACATTTTTTTTAAGTTATGGAGATTCCGAGTTATTCCCTCATCTGTTTGCTTGAAATTATTTTATATAGATTAAATTTAAATTTGCAATTATTTATTTTATTTTTTTTTATGCATATTATGATTATTATATTTATTTGAAGTTATGTATGTATTGGTTATTATTTCTTCAACTTTTTCCACAGTTACCAGGTTTTTTTGTATTAGTATCTATTTATTTTTGTACAACTAATTTGAAGATAGTTTGTCTTATTTTTACTTTTGTTTTTTGCATTAGTATTTGAAATGGAAATTGATATTTATGTACAACAGTGTGCTGTCATTGCAACTGTTAAATTTTTTTTTTTTTTTTTTTTTTTTTTTTTTTTTTTTAGGTTAAAAATTATAGGGTAAGGACTGCATCTGCATGTTTGCTAGTAGTACAATAAAGCTCAAATTAAGTAAAATAATTTTCATTGTTGTGGTTATGCTAGTTAAAACATAATTCCATCTTTTTTTACCAAAAGTTTTTGGAACATTGTCACAAGCAAAAACTATAAAAATAATTTTGGGATGCAATATCAAATGTTTTCTATTCCAGTATAATTGAAGTTCTATATTATACTAAGAGTTTAGATTCTGGGTAAAAATTGTTTGATATTGGTAAGGCCAATTGTGCCATTAAACAAAAATTTAATGGTTATTATTTTTTTTTTTTTTTTTTTTTTTCAACATAAGTTTTTCAGTATTTTTGTTTCTGCTTATGATATATGTAAATAATTCTTGTTTCTAATACAAGATATAATATCAAGGTACTTAAATTTTTTAAAATCAGGTTCCATATTTTATTGAAGAATTAAAGATAACTGATATTGACCTTGGTACAGCCATTCCAATTATACAGAGATCTTCCAAACCTTACCTTGATGAACGAGGTTTCTGGGTTGATCTACAGACAACATACAGTGGTGGCTTTAAAATGACCATTGCTACCAAAGTTAACCTCATGAAATTGAAAAAGTCTTCTCTGGATAAATCTCCTGAATTATCCAACAGACGGTAAGTCACTTATGCTTTAATGATTGTTTTTTTTTTTTTTTTCAAAAGGATTTTACTTGTTATCTTCAATTAATACTTATAACACTTCAGTGCCTAAAATTTAATGCTTTAGTAAAATTCTGTGTGAAAATCTCTACCCCTTTTTTTTTCGTTGCTTTTTCTGTGTTTTTATATCCGTTATAAATTGCTTGGTTCTATTCTCTGAAACATTCAGGTGGGTTCCTTTCATACTTAAATTATTTTTCATTTGGATATTTTTCCCCTTATACAAAGAAGATTTTTTTTTTTTATTTATACTTGTTCTTTGGCAGTTTTATTTTGAGAAATATCAATCTGATTAAGCTTTTTATAGGTTTTAACAAATAGCTTTTGGTAATATTTAAATCTTTAACATTTTAATTTAACTTTGTGATCAGAGATCAAACCATTCTACTTACAGGTTCAATAAAGTTCAAATTAAGTAAAATAATTTTTATTGACATGTTTATGCTAATTTAAACTTAATTCCATGTAAATTATCTTGATTTTGCCTGATTGTTTTTCAGGTTTTATTGAGTAAGAATTAATATTGATAACTTTCTCTAATCTTTTTGCATTTAAAATACTTGGTTTTGTCAATAACTTATTCAACATTGTTTGGCTGCTTAAATTTCTTTGTATTTTTTGCTGTTGTCATCAGAACTGAACACAATTTGTTAATAGTGAGCCAATAAAGCTGGAAGAAGAATTGAGGGGCATTCATTCACTCTCCAGCTTTGACTATTTTTGGGATGAGGACTAAGAGGAAAATGTGTAGTAAAATTATGTAGCTGCAGTGAACATTATTTATATAAGAGGGACAGAGGAACACATTAAAAGGATTTGTAAACATTACAGTATATGTGTATTATTTAATAGTAACTTCACTCTTCAAAACATTCTGGCAGAGAAAAGCATAACAAAAAATTGCATCTATCATAGTAAGGTATATAAGCTCAGAGAAACCAGATATTGTCTTACTTGAGGAACATGAACCCCTAATTAAAGTTATTGTGGAAAAATCTAGTATGTATGACCATATTTCAAGGAAGAAAGCTTTAGGATAAAGTCTAGATAACTGACAGAGCATTGTTGAGGAGTGAGGAGATAGCATATATTTGTTTCTTTGTCTCTATCAAATTTTTTTTTTTTTCTAGCATATTTTTGTTTGTTTGTCTCTAGTCAATTTTTTTTTTCATATTTCAAACAAATTATATATGAAAAGCGTCATTATACTGGAGGCTGAATTCCATGTTTTTATACTATTTGGCTGGTTTCAAAGCAAAAATCTCCCTGCACTCATTTTCAACCTCATCCACATTGTTGAACCTTTGTTCATATAGGAAAAGGTGGTAATCTAATGGTGCAAGGTCTGGACTGTAGGCACTTTGAGTCACCACTTCCAACCCCTCAAATTCCTCAAGTTTGTTTTTGGTTATATTGGTAGTTTGTGCTGGAATGTTGTCATACTGTAGGAGTGTGCATCTTTTGATTGACTAATGCCAACGCTTTCAAAGCATCATATACTTGCTGCAGTTGTTGAGCATAAAGGTCAGCATTCACCTTTGTTTGACAACAGGTTCTGAAACTTGTCTGGAAAATTAAATTAATACAATTTATTTACATCTTATACAAAAGTAGTGTTATGGTTAAATGTACCGAAAAGAAACATGACCAACAGTGAATCAAATAATGGAGGAAGAATTAAGTAAATTGTGGGATACTAACCAGCTAAAAGATCTAGATCATATAGCAGTGACTAAATGTTATAAGTAGAGTCCAAGTAAGTTGGCACAAAAAAAAAAAAAAACACAGTTCGAAAGTTCAGTTTAAATGTTTGGTGAAAGCAATGAGTAGTTGCTGTTTAAGTCCAATAATGAACTTTCCATAGTATTTAACTGAAGTGTATGGAATAGGTTGTTTGAAGTTTGGATGATAGGCATGTGTCAACTTCCTAAGCCAGGTGGGTCAAGTTGGCAGGAAAGATTGGAAGCTGATAGTTGAAGATAGGCTGAAATAGCTGTACTGTCCAGTGCAGGCATTGATGAAATCCATGATGAAGCAGAGAAAATATTAGCCAATATTGCGTTAATGTCCAGTTGCTGAATAAGCCAAACAATTTGTAGTATTTAATTCAGGTGTACAGAATAGGTTATTTGAAGTTTGGACAATATGCAAGCAGCAACTTCCGATGAAATCAGGTGAGTTAGGTTGAGATATGCATAGCCAGAAGTTCAGCAGTGTTGGAAGTAGGGACCAATGCATAGCCAGAAGTAATAAAAGCCAGGAATGCTGGAAGTTAAGGGTCTGTGGTAGACAGAAGTAATAAAGGCCAAGAATGCTGGAAGGAGGAGTAGACAGGAAAGTTTCCAACTAGCATTCAGTTGGTAGAACAAAAATAAATGGGCTGTAATTCAATACAGAACCTGTCCAAGCACCCTGGTCACAAGGACCAGGGGCCTGTGTTTCTCCTCCTATTTAGATTGTTAGAAATAATCAAGCAACTAAAGAGAAATTAGGTTGATTTTAAATCTAAATATACTTGTTATATTGAATTGAAGTAGAGTGACACAATGAAGGAAAGGTCAAGGTCTTGAAGAAATATTGTGTCCACCATAATCACATGATTAGAGTAGTGAAGGGCTACAATAACGGCAAAAATACAAAGAAATTTGAGTATCCAAATAATGTTGGATAGAATATTGGTTTGTTTGAGACAGTTAACCAACATTTTATATCACTTTCAAGAGGAACTATTTAAAAATAACAGATAAAGTAGCATCACTTGGGATTCTACAACCTTCCCACTTCCTATATGCTATCCACTTTTCTAACTGCTTGTTATGGTAACATTAATTTCAATATGCTTTCTTCTCTTAATTGGTGTTTGTTGCTGTTGAAATTTGACAACAATAAACAATCTTTGCCTGTGCTTTCATCTTAAACCAAGGTTGAAGAATTGAGTAATTTTGATATATTTGATTTTCGTCAATCTTTCTCTCCTAATTAATTCAGGATCAACCAAAATTTTTATTGTAAAGACTTGTTTGTATATTTAGATAGAAAAGGAAGGATTCTAATTTGGAAAAATGATAGTTTGCCTTTATGCAATGTACACTTTGATTGAGTATAAATGAATAGTTTAAACATTCTAATAATTACATAATAGATTTTGAGTTATTTTCAAATTAAAACAGTTATTAGTGGGATATCAATACTTTGCCAAGTCTTTTTACCATTTTCTGATTAAATTTAATAGATTTTATGTCAGTTTCCTATTGCTTAGAGATCAAGAAGAGATGCTTTTTAAAATGCGGTTGTGTATGAATTTCCAGATTGTTGATTAGATATTTGACTCCACAGTTTTCACTTTGATTCTCTTTTGCTGTATCTACTTACGAACATTTTACATACTATTGAATATATGTAATTGAATTATTCAAATTTGGAGATTTTTATTTTTGGTGAAAATTTTAAGCTTTTTAAGTATTATTAGTTTTATAAGTACTATCATCTGTAATACTATACCTGGGTGGGGATGTGATGTTTTTGATGTGTGCACCTCTTTGCTGCTGCAATATATCACTGCTGACAAGTTATCAGGAAGAACTTATATATATATAATTCTTTTCTGGATGTAAATTATGTAGAAATTGTCCAAATGTTTTGCATGTCCAAATGCTTCCACCTATACTTTTAGCCATTATCAATTTCTACATAATTTACATCTCAAAATGATGATATATAAAACTCAGTCTGCTAACTTGTCACCAGTGATATATTGGCATGATTTTATTATTAAATTTGCATTCATGAAGGATCTCTTTTATTCTGTAAAGCACTTTTCCACCTAGCCACTTGACAAATTTGATAACCCTATTCCCAAAACTATTCTTTCTCAAAGGTATTTGGGAATTGTATGAATTCATTTCCTCTTGCTAGCTATGGGTTAAATAGTAAATCATTGTTATTCTCAAAAAATTGTTAATGCAATATTCACTAAAAAAAAAAAAAAAACTGATTATTCTTACAATCTGAAATTTTGAATTTAAATAATCCACAAGGGTTTAATAAACCATAAAAAAAAACAAATCGGTCAATCTAAGTTCAAATATGTCATGTAAACAAACCACATGGTTTGTTACTTGGCTTGGCTGAGCTTTTTGGAAAACCCTTTCTTAAAACTTCTTAAAAATCATACCAAACTGATGGGATAGGTCTTTGTTTTTGGAGTAAAATGAGTATAGCAGGTGGATACAGGGCTGAACTATGATAGTAAATTATCAATTATCAATACTGGCCCAATTCAACATGTCTAATTTCTTGAACCAAATTAATTTTAATTTAATTCCAATAACTATTAAATGAAAGTAAGCCTTTTTGTTTTTCACATTTTCCCTCTAGTTCTATAAGATGAAACTAGGCCTTTCTAGATATAACTTTGTCACTGAGGTCAAACCATGTTGGGGTCTCTGTTCACTTGGATATTCCATTTTTAGATTTTACTGCAAGTGTCAACTAAGCAGGTTACATTGCCATTTTAGTTTGCAGAACATTTAATTTGTAAACAATCTTGTTACAGTGATAAATCTTTAGAATAGAACTCTAAAATATAAGTAGGAGTCGGAAATGGTTAGTATTTGAAAATGTGCCATCTTTGATACCCAAATTGTTGTTGGAAAATAATAACAAACCAGAGTGAACAACTGACTATAAGTAGTCATAGTACCGATGTCCAACTAATAGTTGTTTTAGAAAACTGTAATTATTGGGCACTTCAGTGATTCACTGTTGGTTTTCTGTCTAAATTTCCATTTGTAATTCTGAAATAATTCTTAACTTTGACATCTGGTAAATTAATTTTCTTATAAGTAGAAAAAGACAATTTTTTTTTTTTCTGGAAACATACAGTATAATTTCATTTAAAATTCTGCATTACTGTTACAAGCATGCAATTTTCCATCTATTTTTTTCAGGTCAGCAATTACAGATTCAAATGAAGAAGACAGTGCTGAATCTTCCACTGATGAAGAACCAGATGATAATGGCTTAGAAGATAGGTATGCTTTGATGCATCAATCTATTTCTGCTTTTTTTTTTTTTTTTTCAACCATGAAATTTCTATCTTTTGGTGGCACTAAATTCAATAAACATTTACACAATTTGGTAATATTAAAAAGACAAAGAACAGCACAATATAAAATACTATTATTCTATCAAAAAATAGTTTGTTTTTGTTATATTTACATGGAGACAAGGCAAGTATAACCCCCAAAAATATTTGAATACAATTTTGAAAATATTTGAACCTAATAAGCAAATAGTTATTCTGAGGAATGCAGATGGTGCAACTGTGTGTGTATACTGAATAAGGACAATATAATGCAAAATAACTGGGAAGATCTAGATCATCATGGAGGAAAGCAGTTCATCGGGGCGAGAGAGATTCATAAACATCTTGATCTTTGAAGATGTAGTGACAATTTGATATAATGTGTAATGCTGCATCTACATAAGTTGGGCAAGCCTAAAAATCATCAAAGACAACCCAAAGAAAGAGAGCAAAGTCACTTATTACATGTTATGCAGCATTTATGTAACAACTACTGCAAATGACACCTAACATTGCTACATCTGTGCCTGGGGATGTAAGACCATAGCAGTTCTCAAAATAACATCTGTGCTGCCAATATTCAAGGATGAATCAAGTCATGGCATTGCTCTAAATCAATGCTTTTGATATAATCTGAATTGGTATTAAATGATCCTGATTGCATTGATGCATGATGTTGTTTCATTGTTAGTTAGAACAAGAAAATTGTATGATAGCAAAGAAGTTGGTGATCCAACAGAAATAATGTCATTTGATGCATATATAAATTTTATACAATGGTAAGATATTTCTAATGAAATAGAAGCAAAAGCTCATCATCTGAATGAAATGAAAAGAAATTGAAGTTCTTCAACCAATAGTAGACAACTAAGACATCTCATTTTTGCAGCTGTCTTAAAGCAACATTACTTAAAGTGAATGTAGAAGATAAGGTAGAAGTCCTCTTGGAGAAAAGCTGACTCTAGCCTTGACAAAGAATCTTGGAATTGTGTTTGTTGTTTTTTTTTTTTTTTTAACAATCATTTCACATCAAGCAAGGTAATAAAGATACTAAGGTGCAATAGGTTACAAAGTTTTAAAGAATATGTGTAAAAGAAAAATATTATTAAGGAGTCAGGAAAATAAAAGAACAGGAATTAAGGGCAGAAGAAGATCAAAGTTGACTGGAAAGAAAGAATCTTGGAAGAGAGTTCTGCAGTCGAGAATTGTGAGAGAAGAAACTGTTAGCATAGAAAATATGGTTCAATCTTGCAATTTCAACTGCAAATGGTGAGACCTAGCTCCCAATCTAGTACTGCACTTAAATTTGTAAATTAAGGTACAGCTCATCAGAACAATTAGCATGAAAATAATTATAGAAAAGGTAAGGGAATTTATGTTACAGTGGTGGATAAAATGACTAATGCTGAGATGCCACTTCAGGACTGATACCATTGCAGATTCTTTGTATTTCATCAAGAATCTCTAAATACATAGTAGAAGCATGAGACCAAATGTAGCAGCAGTATTCAATGCATGGATGAATGGAAGACTTAGAAATCTGTAAGATAGATTCTAGTAAGAAAGATTGTCTAGCCCGACACAGTTAACCAACTTTTCTAGCAGCAGACCTAGCAATTGATTAAATATAATTTTTCTACTTCATGTCATTAGAAAATGTTATCCTGAGAAGATGCGATGGTTAAGGTTAGCATCATCCATGTTGATGGAAGGCAAAAAGGGTTTTCTAAGTTGTTGTGAAGAAAATCACAAAATGAATCCCAATCAGAAAGAAGTCTTGTGAATAGGAGGTTCATGTCTAATAGACAAATAAAAAGAAATATCAACAGATACTACAGCATGATTTAAATTGCCAAGAGGATAGAATTGAGATACTTGACAAGAGCCAGGAGAGGAGCTAAATAACACATCAAGTAAGAAAGCCTGTTGATCAGAATTATTAGGGAAATGAGTAGAGAAATACACAAATTTGACTGAGAGACTCAAGCAACAGAAAATTGAAAGTCTGAATGCCAGCAACATCTTACTTATTATTATAAAACGCAGATTGTGTGTGTCTGTTCGTTTATATATGGGATCGTATTTCCTACATTTTTCAACCGATTTCAACACAACTTCACAGGACTATGTAAAATTACCCAGCAATGGTTCTGACAGCACCAAAAATTGGAAAAATACAATTGTTTCTGCACAAGATCAATTTGAAAGCACGGTTAAGGGTATTGCACCTGGCTGGAAGTTACTGCCGGCTACTCAAATGCCTGAATGACATTAACTTCCGGTGACTCAGTGGTTTTTTTCAGAGAACGATACACAAAAAGTAAAACAAATGAAACAAACATACACAAGTCCTCCTAACTAAAAATAATAGCCGGAAACTACTTTAAATACACATGGTGTCCAAATGAAACCCATGTGTACAGTGAAAATGTGGAAGTTAATTTTTAGTCATCAACCAAAAGATATTGCTAACTGGCTACGATGTTATCGCAGCCGACATAAATACAGCTGATTTCTTGGCTCCAGGGTAGAGAGTTCTGACAGCACCAAAAATTGGAAAAATACAATTGTTTCTGCACAAAATCAATTTGAAAGCACGGTTAAGGGTATTGCACCTGGCTGGAAGTTACTGCCGGCTACTCAAATGCCTGAATGACATTAACTTCCGTGACTCAGTGGTTTTTTTCAGAGAACGATACACAAAAAGTAAAACAAATGAAACAAACATACACAAGTCCTCCTAACTAAAAAAATAATACGAACTTTTTACTTTAAATACACATGGTGTCCAAATGAAACCCATGTGTACAGTGAAAATGTGGAAGTTTTTTTAGTCATCAACCAAAGATATCGCTAACCACATTTATTGATGCTATCCCAGATGACATAAATACAGCTGATTTCTTTAATAATAGGGGGTAGAGACATGCTTCTAAAGAGGGGGAGCACGTAATGCATCTTTATTTATAAAAAATTAGTTGCATATCTCTGTCCTTGGACAGAGTGACAGAAAACTTCTCTGTCTAAGGACGGAGGGGCAACTGAGAAAAAAATACTGAAGAGGTGCCCAGCCCTGAGGAACAGCTGCACAAGGACACGCCCTTCCATTGCACCAGAGGGAGGGATCAGTGCTCACTTTTAGGCCAGCGCAAACCCAGGGTTGCAGGGGCTGAGGGGAATTTTTTTGTCCTGCCTGAGTGTACGCGCTCGGGTCCCCACATTAATCCGACCTTGTGTCACATCTCATTCTTGGGGAATGAGTAAATACTAGAGTGATGTGCTCCCCTCTCACCTTCACCTGGCCGACCCTCATGGAAAAATAAACCACCACATCTCAAGTGTTAATAAAAGCAAAAGCATGTCAGATTTATAAAGATTTCCTATTTGTCCCTTATCCTATCATTCTCTTGCATTCCTATCTATATTTGATCTTAATTTATATATATATATATATATATATATATATATATATATATATATATATATATATATATATATATATATATATAAACAGATGCAAACTATGCCTGGAAGAAAAAATTAAAATAATTAAGTACAAAAATACAAGCCAGTTATTGAACCAGAGAAATGAAATTATACTTAAATGTCATCATAAAAATAAGTTTATATCGTCTTAAAAATAGACATTTATATTGCATCAAACACTGAAAAATATATATTAGGTTTGTAACTATGTAAGTTTATATATATGTATAGTCAAATTCCCAGATGAATTCTGTGGACAAGACAGATTGGTATCATTTTTTTCCAATTGTCATTTGATCCCATGTATGTGTGTATTGTATATGTGTTTGTATATGTGTGTATCTATCTATTACTTTTATTACTATTATTATTACTTTAAATATATTATATATATATATATATTTTATTACTATTAAATGATGATGATGTTTAAATGAATAACAACATAGATTGCATTTCTGTGATTTTTATTACTGGTTGCGCAGTTAAAATTTTATCCGTAAAATTTTCCCTACCTTCCTTACCATAATATTCTCAAAAAATCTAAAGTAGGATCTGTAATGTAATCGGTACTGAATTAGCTTCTTGACTTCAGCCGCTTTCTCACAGACGTGATGTGGTTTCCCTCTGTCTTTTCTACAAATATTTTCATGGCTACTGCACTGATGAGCATTTTTTCCCTGGTGCCCTGACTACATGAATTTAAGTGTACTACTAGATTGGCATCTAGGTCACAACTTTTTACTGTTGAAATAGTTAAATGTAACCACCCTTCTAACAGTTTCTTTCCTCGCACTTCTCCATATTGGAACTCCATTCCTCTCACTTCCATGTTTTGTTGGGTTGATACCTGTTCTTTTTTCCTTTCTTCAATCCCCCCTACACCAGTTCTTTTCTCTCATTTTCACTCTCCATAACCCCCTGTGGGATAATGGCACTTCTGACTTGCTTGGGGTGAAATGCTTAAAAAAAAACCCCAAAACATTGAATATAAAATAATTAGGGTACTGACAAAAGCATCCAATAAAATAATTAGGGTACTGAAAATAGCATTTACCACAATCAAAGGTGTGTGTGTGTGTAACAAATGCACGGCCACAATTTTCGACGGATTTGCACCAAAATTTACATGCACATGCTCCAAGTTAGCGGGAAAGAGCCAAGACTGACTTTTTTCATGCTTCTACAGCAGTTTTCATGTAGTTTGCGGCCATTTCCTACTGGCCTGAGTGAGAGCCTATAGCTGGCTGTCACGAATAGACAAGAAGATTCTATTGGCCAGCATGAGAGCCAACAGCTGACTGACACGAATGTTAACTAGCATGCTAGCATGCAAAAAAAATCGATAGCTGCATTCGTCACAAGTGGGAAAATTTAAATCTGCATGGCACTTTACTCCAATTGGCTCATTCGCTTGCTTAAACTCAACGTTGATTCTGATTCCACAGAACTGGGTTGGGT